ACCAGATACGACACATTAAATATACATTTAAAAACTTAAGTATACATTACTTAGTTCTTTTCTTACCCCAAATCTATCTACCTCATAGCTCTTCTCCTGCCCTCAGGTTATCGACTGTCAGATAATGGTCAATAACTGTCACCAAAAACCTACAGACTTAAACATTTTTCCCATAGCTCACAATTGTATTGGTCAAGAATTTGGGCAGAACTTACTCAGCTGGATGATTTTCTGCTCAGTATGGCATCTACCAATGTCACCTGATCACTCAGCCAGCAGATGGATGGCCTGGAGGGCCCAAGATGGCATTATTAACATGTCTGGCACCTTGGCATGGAAGACTGGGGATAGTATGCATATAAATAGTACCTCCAGAATGGCATCCAGATAGTTGGGCTTCTCAGAGTTTCTAGGATGATCAAAAACATAGCAAGCTGAAGCTACCAGTCTCCTAAGGTTTATGCCAAGAAGGCAACAGGTTTATACCACTTTTGCCATATAAACTGATCATAGTTACACAAATAGAAAAGTCTACACAGACACAAGGAGACATAAGCCCACCTCAATGAGAGAGCTGTCGAAGATTGTGTGTATCTGTAATCTGCCATATGAAGTACTGGAAACATGCTTGTCTAATAAGTAAAAAAATGAATGAGTTTCTGCCTGGTTTGTGATAGTCATCCTTGAAAAGAGATAGAGGACTGACTCTGAAATAAGTAGGGGGCACAGTCAGGGAGACAATGCAGGCTGCAGAAGTCACAATAGATAACTTCCCTCCTAGCCTCCTGGCATTATTATTATTAAAATATAGCCAGCCTGTGGTAGTGCAGGCCTCCGGCTCCAGCACTCAGTCTCTGTGAGTTTGAGGTCAGCCTGGGCTACAGAGTGAGTTCCAGAATAGCCAAGGCTACACAGAGAAACTTTATCTTGAAAAACATATGCATATGCACATGCGCATGTGTGTGTTATTATTGTTGGCACAACAATTCTGTTTTAATTCTAAAAATCCCAATACAATTTACCACAAAAGATATCATAGACAATTTTTCAAGTAATTGCTTTACATTTTGTTCCTGAGAATTGACCTAAAACTTGATGTGTCTTTGACTCATTAGAGTTTATCTTATTCTTCTCTTTCTGTTGGTTGCTGTGTGTTTAAAGGAATGGGGTCTTGCTCAGGTTGGCCTCAAATTCCTGGGCTCAACAAACTCTAGTCTCAGCTTCCTAAGTAACTAGAAGCATATACCACCATGCCCAGGTTATCTCATTTTTTTTAATTTTGGACCTTAAGTGTGCTTTCATTTTGAAAATATTTACTATAATAACATTAGTAAGGTAAAATACAAATTCTTTTTCTTGAATTCTAAGTGTGAAAGTTGAGAAAGTGTGTTCAGAGAGTTGAATATGCCAGTTCTCACATTTTTAGAAGGAATACCCACTACACTGATGAATGAGGGAAGATAACACCAGGATAAAGTACAAATGAAACATCCATGCATTGCTGATAGCAAACAAAATGGAAATGCCATTCTGGGGATGCATTTGGGAAGGTTCATCTATGTTAACTCTCCAGGGACCTCAAACTCCTAGATGTAGTAATAAGGGGCGGCGGGGCTGTGTCCCCAACACCCCAGCTGCCTGCCCGGCTAGCTTATGCCCCGAAATAATTACACGGAGACTGTATTCTTTTAAGCACTGCTTGGCCCATTCTCTTCTAGGCTAATTCTCACATATTAATTTAGCCCATTTCTAATCATCTGTGTGTAGCACCCCAAGGTGCGCTTACCAGGGAGATTCTAGCCTAGTCCATCCTGGGTCGGAGCTTCATCCCGGGAGCGGGGCAGAGCCGAGCGGTCAAGACTGACCTCACTTCCTCTTCCTCCCAGCATCCTGTTCTGCCTACTCCTCCCACCTATCTTTCAACCAATAAAATGGGCCAAGGCAGTTCCTTTATTAGCCAATGACCTTCCTCCATCACCTAGAGTCAACATCAACAAAACTTTCTGTTAAAGGACCAAATAGGAAATCTGATAGGCTTGTGAGTCACACTCATGCAGCTTCCCAACTCTGTCATTGCATGAATGACAAGCGTTTCAATATAATTTTGCTGGTGAAACAGCCTATTTTTTTTTTAAAAAAAAGAGACATATTGAAAAGCCAATTTTGATTCCTGGGTCTGGAAAAATTAAAATGTACATCTACTCAAAAACCTGTACGTAAGTTTTTACAACAATTTTTTATCTAAATAGTTTTTTTTACCTGTATCTTGAGTGGGGGATGGTATGTGTGTGTTTGTGAGGGACACAAGAACACATGTGTACACATGTACATGAAAACCCGATGGCAGCAGCAGGTACATTCCTCAGTCATGCTCCACCTAATTGAGACAGAGTCTCCCACCGGAACTCACAGATGCAGCTCAGTCTGGTTGAGCATTCAATAGTCGACCTCCATCCTCATGCTCCTTCCGAAAATGGGGATTATCAGCATGAACCACTGTGCCCAGCTTTTAATGTGACTGCTAGGAATCCCACCTCAGGTCCTCGGTGAATTCAACCTCCCTACACCTTTTTTGTTTCAGTCAAGCCCTGAAGAGATTGGGTAATGTCCACCCACACTGCTAAGAGCCATCTGTTTTACTTGGTCCACCAATTCAAATGCTAATCATTTCCCAAAATACCCCCAGACGCACCCAGAAATAACATCTAAAACAAACATCTGAGAATCCGTTACCCAGTCAAGTTGACATAATTATCTAATCGCCAATCATCTTCGCAAAACCTTTGTGTTTGAGAATTTGATATGTGATACATTTTGGATTAACTCTTGCAGCCCACAATTAGGAGGCACATTGGTAATTAGCCGGGTTTTCTGGGCTAAAGACTGAATATTTCAGCTCCTGGTCAGCTGGTGGAAAATGTGCAAATGCCTCCAGCGAGAGGCTAAATTTACCTTCTTAGCAAGGATGATTCTGGGTGTAGTATGGCCAACAGTCAATCGCGGGTAGCAATCTGACTACAAGGGGTATCTAGTCTAGAAGCTACTTATTCCATTTCCAAATTCTGTCAAGAGCTCCTATCTGACAAGAATGAACTTAAAAAACAAAAAAAAAGAATGAACTTAAGTTTCAAAGGGCACACCAAATTACTTTGGGTACAAGCTGTCACTGAGGCAAGAGTCTCATCATGTCAGGCAGAGCTCTGATCCCATCATCCTTCTCTCCTTGCCCTTTAGGACAACCTGCTTCTTGTCAACAACAGTTGACTCCCCAGCGTTCTCCTACCCAATCTAAAAAGCTGGGGTGAGCCAATTCAGGAACTTCATGACTATGTCAAAGCGAAGGAAGTAGGTCTATGTAAAGCACTTGACCTGTTTTCTAGGGGACATGATTCCTCTGGTGAACACAGCAGATCATATCCCGGCTATAAAGAGGTGGGATAAGTTAGCAAGTCCTCTGGGGATTTCTGTTGTGGTTTCTTCTCCAAACCAAATCCAAAGACACACATAGTGAATGTGGAGGCTGAAAGGTTCAGGGCTTTCATGCTGGGGGGGGGGGGGGGGGGGCTGGGGGCACTGAAAGGAATTGTCCTTTGGGATACTAGACTTAGTAAAAATGTATTAATGCCATGGAAAGACAGAATGGCAGGGGCTGTGAGGGCTCAGGCCCACATAACAGAGTGTGGGTTTCTTCTAGGTATCAGAAAAAGGAGGAGGCTTTTTGCCACGTGGCTGGTAATTAGTCCATGATGGCCTGCTATTAGTCAGGCTGCCTCTAATTCCTGGGCGTGGGAGAAGGGGAAGAAGGAACAAGGATGAGGGTCAAAGTCTGGGAGCTTAGGGCCTATAAATTTTCTTTGGGAAAGCGAAAACTCAGGTGCCTGCCATTCTCCTGGAAGCCAGGCACCTGGAGAGTCTGTTAGAGGGCTACAGATTCAGAGACAGGCTCTCTGTAGGGTGTCCATCTGTCCCTGGAGCAGCAATGATCACAGAATCAAATATGAGAGTGGAGGTTGAGAGAGGTGCAGATGGGCAAGATCTGACTAGCATCTGGTCTGGAGTCTGGGTACCTGGGGTGCTCTTAGAGGATTACAGATTCACAGAAAAGCTCTTGGTAGGGGGCTTGCCATTTCTTTCTCAGGAGCTGTGAGGATGGGGAAAGGCTACTGCAGGTGGTGGTAATCTGAGTAACCCCAAAGCCTAACGGGGTGACTGCCTGATGATAGCTGCAGCCATATCCCAGCCCTATAACGCCTTTTCTGTCTTCCAGAAATAGTCCATGGTACCAGCGTACATAAGAGACTGTCTAGGCAACTTGGTGGCTGTGTCTGCAGTAGAACCCTGACCACATCTAGATCCCAGGGGCAGTAAGGGACATGCCACAAAAATCATCAGCCAGCAGCTTCCTTAAGAGGGCTGATGAGTTTTTGGATCTTTTGCCATTGTCAGCCTATAGTTCACGGGTGCCTGGTTTACTTAATTTCTTGTGAATTTCACATCATGCATCCTCAATCCCACTCATCTCCCTGAACCTCCATATCTGCCCTCTGCCCTTGCAACCTGACCCCAAAAAAGAAAACAAAAGATAAAAAATAAAGATTAAAAAAAGAAAATCTCATCTGGGTGGTGGTGGCGCATGCCTTTAATCCCAGCACTCAGGAGGCAGAGGCAGGCGGATCTCTGTGAGTTCAAGGCCAGCCTAATCTACAAGAGCTAGTTCCAGGACAGGCTCCAAAGCCACAGAGAAACCCTGTCTTGAAAAACAAAAGAAAGAAAGAAAAAAAGAAAGAAAGAAAGAAAAGAAAATCTCGCCACGGAAGATGAAGATGGAAGCTGTAGTGCATCTTGGTGTGTCACACAGTGTACACTTTTGCCCAAACGTCTTTTTTTTTTTATTTTAAGTTAATTTTTTTAATGACCTTTTTCTAAGGACCGTCACCTTTTGAATTTTGAGACATACACCCATAAAGGATCAGTTCTGTGCAGCTTCTGCTGCCTGTGATTTAGTTTCGGATCTGACCACACCAACAGCTACTAACAACCCCGAGGATTTGAGACCCATAAGAGCCTCTTCTCAGTCTGTCTGGTTCTCATCACGTCTGCTTTGCTGGAAGAGAGTTCAGGAGCTGTAATACTTGAGGAGATTCTCATCTGTAGGCTTCAGAACTTTCTTATCTGCCATATTCACCACCCAACCAGGAGCAAGGCCAAAGAAAATTTGCCTTGGATCCTTCCGAGCGCTGAGCATTCTGAAGAGTTCATCTTTCGTGATATCAGGAAGAACGTAGCCATACTTCATGGCGAGTTCAAGTCTTGCTTCAGGAAACTTGGCAGGGTCGGCCAGGTACCCCCGGTTCTTCGCATCCGTGTAATACGGCACCAGGGCCTCAGGAGGGAGCATTCGCTTTGGAATGGGCTGTCCCCGCAGAAAGAACGGAACAGGCTTGCACAGAATTTCCAGACTTCTTGGGTCATAGAAGGCTGTAGTAACGACACCGCCATTTTTTTCAATTGCAGCAATGGCTAATTCTGAAGCCAACTGCACCTCAATATTCACTTTTGCTTGAAAAGTATCAGCACCCTCTTCAACCAGCTGGACCCCATAATCCCTCTTAAGCGGCTGGATGGTCACGCCTCTGCCGTTGACAAGCTGGGTTAAGTCGATAGGCTGAGTTGGATCAACTCGCCCTAAATCAATGAGATACTGCAGTCTCCTGAGACTCAAAGGCTGATACTGATGCCTGAAACTATGTCCTTCATTAAATCCGTATTTTGGGATCCGGATGTAAAATGGAGTCTGCCCTCCCTCGAAACCCAGCCGGGGTCGAGTTCCTCTCTGCCTTTCTCCTTTGTGGCCTCTGCCACATTTCCTCCCTCTCCTCCGGTCTCTTGGACGTCTTTCCCGTTTTCTGGAGTCGGGGTTGGGCTTCAGGTTGGCCAGGCTCACTCGCGGCAGGGACCGGAGCAGGTCCAGGCTGGCCCCGCAGCCCCGTGCCCCGCCAGCCATGACCCACGCTCTTCCCAAGGGCGCCCCGGGAGGCAGCGTGGCTCGGCGTGGCTTTACGGCCCCACCCCGCCCCTGTCCTGCCCAAACGTCTTTACTCAGAAAAGTAAACTGAATGAATCATTGGTGTAGTTTAAGGCCTCTGGCTTCTGCACCACTGTCAATACTGGACCCTTACCAGGACTCCTCTGGGATGTCCTATTGTTTTCCCGTGTCATGGAGATCCCACAGCTTTGGTTCTACAGGACACTCCAGTTGGAGCTGGCCCATTCAAAGGTCTGAATCTGGGCCCGGATGGTAGCTGAGCTGGTCAGCCTGCCCACTCTCCCGCACCCACCAGGACTACCAGGGCCAGCTCTCCTTCCTGTGGCGGCTGGCAAGGAAAGAACCTGCTCTCCTGCACTCAGGCCCATGGCCCAGCTCTCTTTGCCTGTTTGGGGTGGGCAGCTGAATATGGTTTGTTAGTGCTACTGGTGCCCACATTCTGCCCCATTTTCTTGATTCCATGTGGAACTTGTATTAGATAACACCAAATTCCTAACTGGACATGGTGGCACATGACTGTACTCCCCACATTCAGGAGTCCGAGACAAGAGTTGGTGGAAGGAGGCCAGCCTAGGATGCATAGCAAGATCCTGTCTCTAAACAAACAAAACAGGGCTAGAGAGATGGCTCAGGGGTTAAGCCAGCTTTTAGTCCTCCCAGGGGACCAGAGTTGAGCTCCCATAACCCATGCCTAGTGACTCACAGCTGCCTGGAATTCCTGCTCCAAGGAATCTAATGCCCTCTTCTTACATAACCTTTTTTTTTTTTTAAGATACTGAATTGCTAAATCTGTATCCCATGTGCCTTATTTTCCTCACCGTTTCTAACTCCTTGATCTTTCCTATGTGTTCTCAAAGAAATTCGCCGCTTGTTCTTGTAGCTAATTTGCTCTCTGACTGTTATCATTATGTGTCAGTTAGCTCAAATTCTCAGTTCATCTCTTTTTTTTTTCTCATTTTCATGTGTGTGGTATGCATGTGTATGTGCATGTTTTTGTATGTGTTTTGTATGTGTGTGAGTGCTGCTAGGGACTTGCCATAGGAGGACTGGGATTACAGGCGCTGCATCCTGTAATCATTTGCATTTGACTCAAGATCGGATCCTCGGGCTTGCGAAGCAAGAGCTTTACCTGTTGAGCATTTTTTTTTCTGTTCGTGTCTTCACTGGGTCATTTGTACTTTATTTGAAAGGTGTCTGTTCTAGCCACTTTCCACATTTACTGACTTTTCTTTGGGGGATTTTTTTTCAGCTCTTTATATATTCTGAGAATGAATCTCATCAGACGCCGTTAGCAAAGATTTTCTTCTGTTATATAGATTGGTTTTTCTATGCATAGTTTTAATTCAAGTCCGTTTGTCACCCATGCTATCCTTTATTGAGCTCTTGCAGTCTCACTCACAAGCTCATTGTCTATGCCTAGATCTTGAAGCATTTCTTCATTTTCTTCTAACAATTTCAAGGTTTTAGGTCTTAGAGTAAAGGTGTTTTATTTAGTCACCCATTCTCAACAGGCCAAATTTAGTCTTCAGTATATATCCAGGTTGCTTTTTGTACAGAATGAGAGATACAGACCTAGCTTCAGGCCTTTATTGATAAATGCCCAGTTTTTCCAGCACCATTTATTAAAGAAGCCTTTTTAATGTTTTTGACATCTTTGTCAAAAATCCAATAACTAGCATGGTGGTGCTCAACTTTAATCCCAGCACTTTGGAGATAGAGGCAGGCAAATCTCTGTGAGTTCTAGAGCAGCCTGGCCTACGTAGTTCTAGGACACCCAGGGTTATATAGTGAGATCCTGTCTCAAAAGAAACAACAAAGTATTCAAAAGCCCCAAATCGTGGGGGGGACAACTCACTCAACCGCCACAGAGCCTGTCTGTGAAGACAACACACACAAATCAACATTTTTTTCTATAGGGAAAATAATTTCTCAAGGCATGATGGTACAGACCTAGAATCCCAGCACTCAGGAGGCTAAGAAAGGGGAGTTGTGAGTTCAAGATCAGTCTAAGATCCCTAACATAGTACAAGAGCACCATTGTAAGCCCCTTGAGCCACAGTGACCTGGCCCCTCCCCCGAGGACCTCTAACAGCCAGGTTCCACCCACAGAACACTCTAACTGCCCTAACAGCTGGACCCTGCCCCCACCCAACAGAGCAAAAAGTCTAATCTCTGGACATGAACTCCCACCAATCTCCACCCTGAACAGTTCCACTCCCTTCCCAAGAAACTCTGTGTTATAAGCCCTCTGTTCTGTTGCTGTTGTTTCTTACTCAAGCAGAGGCAGCCACCCTCCTGGCCTTTTTCCCTCCCAATAAATCTCTTATGTGAGGTTTGGTGTGCGGTGTGACTTTGTGGTATTCCTTGGTGATGGCTCAGGTACCCCTGAGCACATCCTCCAATTTGGCATGCCATCCCTCAAAGCTCCTGGGACATCAATGCTGGTACCACTTCAGGCTCAAAACGTCCCAATGAGTGGCATATCTGTCTGGTCTTGTCTCTGGCTCATTCGCCCTGCCCTCTTCTATACAACCAGGGCGCATCTCTTTTTCTCATGGCTAACCCTGTTCCTAGGACCAATGTTAGTTATCTATTTTTTCTCCTAGCGACCTGCCTTCTCCACCTCCTCAAGAAACAGATTCCTGAGGTCTCCAGGATGGCAGCTAACCGATTGTTTCTTCACCCACACCTCCCGCTGAGCATGGGCCCTTCAGTTCACAACTGGCCCCTCTCCACATAGTGCCATGCCCACAGGAAGTGAACCGGCGCGCATGTAACCTAGGTGTCTGGGATGTTTAGGTGGAAGCTCCACCTCTCTCTCTCTCTCTCTCTCTCTCTCTCTCTCTCTCTCTCTCCTTCAGGACCACGTGTATGGGGTATTTAAGACCTGGACCCTAGACCTGCCACATGATCTCTCTCCTGCCTTTCCTGAGAGTAACTTGAGAGTTGTTTTGTTTTATTTATTAAACCTGGTTTTATTAATTTGTCTGGATTTGACTTATTGTATTGGCAAAGAAACTCACAACAGAAGATCAAAAAATACATTTGGCTTCACCAACAAGCCAGGATACCTTTTCATCTGAGTTGTAATACTTACAACAATTATAATCCTACTGAGAAACCCTGTCTCAAAATATTTTATATATGTATACTCAGCAACTTATAAACTAAATACACTACATATGACTACCAAGTCTTTGCCTAAAAGCCTGAATTCATGATTCCTAAAACTATTTCCATTTTCTTTCATTGATAAAGGCTATCAGGGTAAAATACTTGATCAATATAACCGTTACAGGTTACTTTATTTCTAAATTGCCTAAAAGCAGTTTTCCCACAAGTGAACAGTGATGGTAGATCTTAGCAAATAGGTAAGGTTTCAATTAACACATAATTTATTTTACCCAACTATGATGGTTAAGTTTTTATTTATTTGTTTATTTTTGGTTTTTGAGACAGTGTTTCTCTGTGTATCTCTGGCTGTCCTGGAACTCACTCTGTAGACCACGCTGGCCTTGAACTCACAGAGACCCACTGTTGTGGGAGGTCCTTCTGTACATGTGTTACTTTTATTGGTTGATGAATAAAGCTGTTTGGGCCAAGGGCTTAGCAGAGTAAAGCCATGTGGGAAATTAGAACAGAGAGAGAGAGAGAGAGTAGGTGGAGTCAGAGAGATGTCATGTAGCTACAGAAGGAGACAGATGCCCTGGAACCTTATAGGTAGGCCACAGCCCTGTGATGATACACAGATTAATAGAAATGGGTTAATTTAAGATGGAAGATTTAGTTAATAAGAAACCTGAGCTAATAGGCCAAAACAGTGTTGTAATTAATATAGTTTCTATGTGATTACCCAAGTCTGGGAGGCCAGGAAATGAATAGCAGTCTCTGCCTACAATCTACCTGCCTCTGCCTCTCTGAGTGCTGGGATTAAAGGAGTGACCACCTGACTGTGGTGGTTCATTTTACGTCAACTTGGATAAACTGATACCTAGCTATTCAGCAAAGCACTATTCTAAATGTCTGTGTGAGAACTGGAAGGGTTACTATTTAAATCAACAAACTTTCTGAAAAACACATTTGGCTGACTTCATCACATGATCCAAAGGTTTGTTTGTTTGTTTTTGTTTTGTGAGATAGGGTTTCTCTGTAACTTTGAAGCCTGTTTGAGAACTAGCTCTTAATAGACAAGACTGACCTCGAACTGGATCCAATGGCTTTTTAAAAAGACTGAGGCTGGGCATACTGGTGCATGTCTTTAGTGCCATTCCAGCACTTGGGAGACAGAGGCAGGCAAATCTCTGAGTTCCAGGACAGCCTTGTCTCCATAGTGAGTTTCAGGACAGCCAGGGCTACATAGAGAAATATGTCCTAAAAATCAAAACAAAACAAAAAGAGGCTGAAGTTTGGAATGGAGCAAAATTCTTGCTTAGCATGTACAAGGCCCTATGTTCAACACAAACAAAACCTAATAAATGCCCCTAAAGTCTTTCCGTAAGAAGTCTTCCCGGTGAGGAAGAGCAGCACTAACTGAACAGGCACAGGACTTAAATAGAGCTTCTTAGGGGTGGGGTTTTCCCAGAGAGAAGAGGGATTGGTTAGTCTTTCCCTGCTCAGGGATTGGCTAGTTTAGTTGGTCAGGGGCAGAGATGGCTGATCTCAGAGCCAAAATTATTTTCTTTCACTGGTCTTTTTAAGCTTTTTGGCTCTAGTTTGGGGGCGATGGCATATTTCTTTCACTGACTCTGATTCTAGGGACAAAGTGTGTTTCTTTAGCACTGGTTTCAGAGTCAGGGCATGTTTCTTTGGTTCTGGGTTCTGGGCTAAAGTTCTTTCACTGGCTTGGGTCTCAGAAACAGGATGTGTTTCTTTCACTGGCTCTGGCTTCAGAGCCAGGGTGGGTTTCTTTGGCTGACCCTTTTACCCTACATTCAGCCTACACTACCTGCAAATTTTGAATTTACTAGCTTCCATAACTACACACAGCAAATTGTTAAACCAGTTTCTATGTACAAACAAATAATCACACACATACACACATGTGCCTGTGTGAACACACATACTTTATTGGGTGTTTTCTTTGGAAAACCTTAACAAAATCACAAAATTGTTCTTTTTGTTTGGAGATTGGGGAGATTGGGGCAACTTTGTAGCCCAGGCTGGCTTCAAGTTTATGATCCTCCTGTCTCAGCCTCCTCAGTGCTAGGATTGCAGTTGTGTACCACCATACCTGGCTACCAATAAAAATGTTGACATAGAAATAAAATACTAGAGTAACCAAATGCAAATTTTCTCAGATCTTTAGGTCCACCTATGTGTTGGTGTGTTGCCCTTAGTATTCATAGGAATACAGTATGTATGAAATGAACAATAGCAAACATATCTAACAAGAACCTATATTTATTTACTTTCAAGCACTATGCTAAAAACTATTTTTCCTTTGTTCACCAAGTTAATTAAATCCCTTCAAAAAAGTAATTCTAAGTCCCTATTAAAGAGACAAGAAAAATGAGGCTTAGAGTTGAAAGGTGCTGTTCAGTCACACATAACTACACAGTAAACTAAACCTCAAAGGTTGGCAGGCTAGTGAGAGGCTCAGTGACTAGAGGCACTTGCTGCCAATCCTGACAACCGAGTGCAACTTCAGGACCCACATGATAGGAGAAGAAAACCGAGTCCTGGAAGTTGCTCTCTGACCTCCACATCATGGCACATATACATAAATACATAAATAACTTTTCTGAAAAAGGTATTTACAGTTTGAATATGAAATGTCCCCCCTCAATAGCCTCATGTCTTAGGGGCTTAGTAGCCAATTGATGGGGTTTCATGAAGGAATTGGATATTGAAGGCTCCAATCTAATCAATGGTTTAATCCTTTGACAGATTCATAGTAATAGGAAATCACTGAGAAAGAATGGTGGTGGTGCATGCTTTTAATTTGAGCACTTGAGACGAGAGACCCAGTGTAGTGAAAAAATTAAAAATGCTGCAGGATCCCCGGCAGCAGTAGGCAGCAAAAATGCTATAGGTCTCCAAGCAGTGGTAGCGGGCCATGTGACAGGCAGGCAACAGTCCCTGAGAGCAGCCAGTCCCAGATAGAGACAGCTGCCCAAACCTGAGTGGTGGCTGGTCCCAGGCAGGGAGACACATGGCAAGCAGACAAGAGACAGAGACATGGATAGGCATGCCATGCAGAGTGATGTTGGATATTTATTCAAGGGGTTATGAAGGGGAAAGGGAGAAGGGGAGAAGAGCAGAGAGAGAGAGAGAGAGAGAGAGAGAGAGAGAGAGAAGCTGGGGAAGGGGAGAAGTGGGGAGAGAGGCAGAAGCTGCCTCTCCAAGAGGAAGACAGGAAAGGAGAGAGAGCTCAGGCCAGAAGCTGAAGATCAGCTCTGCCTCAGCAGGTGGGGGAGGGAGTGGGCGTGGCTTGTCTCTTAAAGAGATAGAACAATCATTACACCCAGGCCCTAGAAAATCCCTGATCCACAGCTCCCACACAGACCCTGAAGGACAGGATTTAAGCCACAACCCAGGGAAAGAAACACAACTTGAAAACGGGACCAGAGCCAGGAGAAGAAACACTTTGTCCCCAAACCTAGAGCCAGAGAAAAGTCCCTGAACCATGAAACTAGGACCAAAAGAACACACTAAGTACCTAGATTTAGGGCATATCTTTGCCTTGGCCCCAAGATTAGACTTAAAAAGATAGAAAGAACCAGAAAAAGAAATACAGTTTGGCCCCAGAAATGGAGACATTTCTGCCCCTGATTCAAAACCAGCCAATCCCTGAGCAGGGAAAAGGGATGAGAGCCTCAGGCAGTTATTGGCAGTTGGGAGTTTCCCTCAGGCCTAGAAAGCCCCCTTACTTCATTGGAGGGCAGCCAACCCCAAGCCCTGAAACTTAGAATTCCTCCATGCCTCTGCCCCTATATAAACCCCATTTTTAGCTGCTCTGGGTTTCTCTGTTTCTTTCTTGCACTGTGCCTGGGGCTGCTGCTGTGGTCATCACTGCTGCTTTGGACAGACAGAGGGACCCGAGTTACTTCATTAATAAAGATTGTTTTTGCATCAGCTTGGTCTTGTATTGATGATTGGGTTCCGGAGTTGGAACAGAGAAGCAGAGGCAGGCAGATCTCTTGCGTTCAAGGCCAGCTTGATTTACAGGGCAAGTTCTAGGACAACCAAGGCTACACACAGAGAAACTCTGTCTTGAAAAACCAAAAATTAAAAATCATGGGGGAGATCAAGAATAGAAAGTTGGGGCCCCAGTGTATCCTTGAGGTTCTATTCCCCCAACCACCCCCTTTCTGCAGCACTCTCTTCTCTATTTCTTGGCCTCCGTGATTGTGAAATGCTCTGCTTTGTCACACTATCCCCCAAGCAAGACAGATAAAACCATGATCCAAGATAAGTCATTCCCTCTTGACAATGCTTCTGCTGGGATTTGGTCATAGCAACAGTAAAAGTAATGACAACAGCTATGTATACATATATGTCAAACTTGAAAGATGATTAAGAACAACAAAATCAGGAATTAGGAGTGTGACTCTATGCATGTAGTAAACAAAGTTTGAAAAGATTGGTGTAGGAGGTCCTTTTGTATTTGTATTGCTTTTATTGGTTGAATAAAGAGACTGCCTTGGCCTTTTGATAGGGCAGCCCTTAGGTGGGCGGAGTAGACAGAACAGAATGCTGGGAAGAAGGGAAGTGTGGCAGATGCCAGGAATCTCCTGCCTGAGACATCCAAAGATGTCAGAGCCAATCAAGTTTAAACTATTGTAACCGTTGCTTTCTTAGCCAATCTGATTTGCTGGAGATGACCTAACTGTCCCTGGAATTCCTCTAGCTGGGCTTAAAAGGAGCCTGCCAGCTTCTCTTGGGGTCGCAGCCATTTTGTTGTGTGGTTGACTCCTGCATGCTGGAATTTGTTCTCAATAAATAAAGGCTCTTGAGAATTGTCTGTGTGAGTGGTGGTCTTTGTGGAGTGATCTGCGGACCCTAACAAATACATGTTTAATCTTTCTCAGTTGATGTTACTAGACTCAAGTGTTCCCATCCATAAAACTCTTAATGTCACTCAGAATCACCAAGTGCAACCTTTCATAGCAATCCCATGATTTTTTTCCCCTTGTAGTTTTTCATTAGTAAATTTTTAACAGCTTTCATGATGTTTAGAAAACAATCTCTAAGGGCTGGGGTGTATCTCAGTGGTAGAGTGCCTCTCATGCATGAGACCCTGGGTTGGAACCCCAGTATTTCAAACCCCCCAAAAAGTACAAAGGAAAACAATACTAAGCACGAACAAGTGTTTCCATTTTACTTAACACTTAGGCAAATTATTTTTGCCATTCATATAATGCACAGCTGGAAAAAAAAGTGCAGAATGCAAAGACATACAGTTATGAATATTCACAATAGGTTCAACAAAGCAATTTTTCTCATGTAAAGGAGCCATTGCTTTTAATGAAAGCATTTTGGACTTGCAGTGATGCTCAACGTCATCTTGCATCTACTGTCTTTTGAACTGGTTCAGATTGGTTAGCACATATGCAGCAGGGGTGTAAAAGGTCGTAAAAAACACGGCAATTCCAACAACCGATTCCTGAAAAAGAAGAAAAGTAGTATTTATGAGTATGGCTTCCTCAACCTGTGGCTAACAAAATGGCTTATGGGCAGAGGTGCAATAAAACACCAACTCTGCAAGCTTTTATGCACAAAACTCTGGGTGTGTTTCCCCCTCCTCACACACATAGCTAAAGATTTTCTTGAAGACCAGAGAGATGGCTCATCTGTTTAGACTTCCTACTGCTCTAGCAGAGAACCTAAATTTGGTTCCCAGCGACCCATATCACGCAGGTTACAACTAGCTCTAGCTCCAGATCCAACACCTCTGGCCTCTTCAGATTCCTGCATTCATATTCATGCCAGACACACATATACACACACACACACACACACTGAGGACATCTGCTCCCTCCTACTGTCTCTCTCTCTCTCTCTCTCTCTCTCTCTCTCTCTCTCACACACACACACACACACACACACACAGACACACACACATACTGAGGGCATCTGTTCCTTCCTATACACACACACTTTTCGAGGGCATCTGCTCCCTCCGAGCCGTTAGGCAGGCTCTACCTCACCGCGGGCGACAGAGCTCGGTGGCGTGGCTGTCCTGAGTGGGTGAGGCGACCGCCAGGCTTTAAGAAGAGGACAACATGGTGGCGGAGGAGGGAAGGACAGAGCAACAGCAGGCGAGACATCGCGGGTCAGAAGAAAACCACTGAGGCAGAGCAAAGTCGGTACCACCTGTGTGGAATCAAAGCAAAGACGTTGGTACCCTCCTGGAGAAAACGGCGGGCGGGGGTGGGGGGGGGTGTGTCCGAGCATGCGCATCAACGCATCAACCTCACAGGGCTCCAGCGTTAATGGAATTTGCACTTTTGTTTTGTTTTGTTTTTGTTTTCGACAGGGTTTCTCTATATGTCCTGGCTGTCCTGGGACTCACTCTGTAGACCAGGCTGGCCACAAACCCAGAGATCTGCCTGCTTCTGCCTCCTGGGTGTTGGGATTAAAAGCATGCACCATCTCGTCCGGCTCCTATTCTGTTTTCTTCTTCCTATTTATCCTAATATTTCCTAAGGAAGCTCGTTAATTATATCTCTTTATTTTTAAAGTCTATTATATCGAGGTCTAAATCTTGCGCACGAGACTGATCTCTCTTGACTGTGCAGTAGGAAGGCACCACGAAACTAGAGAACACAGCCCAGGCTTAGTTATAAGAAAACGCTTCAAGGCTGCAGGTATTGAGTAGGTACTCAATAACGTGCGACTGCTGCTGCACCCAAATTTAAAGGCTCCTGTTGGCTCTGATGGCTTTGTCCAGCTATTCAATGATCCTTGCTGTCCTTTCATGGTTATGAATAAGGTGAATTACTCGGGTTCTTTTCTATTGGTATCTTAATTTATCACGCTGTTCAAATGCCGTAGACTGGATAACTAATAAATAAACTTAGTTCTCCCAGTTCTAAGGTGGAGTTACTGGCCTGTGTGGGTCCTTTTTCTCACATAAGATACAAACCAAACAAGAACTTTTTTTTTCCTTTTGAATTAGGTTCTCCATATAGAGAACCCAGGCTGGCCTCAAACTCACAATCCTACTGCCTCAGCCAGTCAAGGGCTGGGGTTAAGGCATGTGCCACCACCTCTAAGAAGACTGGCTAGTTCTAAAGTAAAGCTAAAAGTTGAATATTTATTAATCCATAATCATAAAAATCAGCATGAGCAGCTTCCTATAGGCAAAAAAGCCACAGCGAAGATACACAATTCTGTGTATGGGGAAGATCTGAATACTCATGATCCTATGCCCCCAGAGGAAGGAGATCTAGGCACACCTACTTGTCACAAGTGCCTATACCTACCTGCTTTATACCTACCCCAGCAAATATTTTATTATGCTTACATATTCAATGTGGGTACAATGAGCCTCACTGAGAAACCCAGATTTCTCGACATCTTGGTGATTGATGGTCCTGATCTTCTGACCCTGTGTAGGTTCCTGTTTTCCTGCCCATTTATCCGAATACCCGAATTCCTGCTCTCAGAGTCCAGTACCATGCCTAATTTATTTGTTCCTTGTAGCCTGGTTGTTGCTACAGATGAGCCTCCAGGTTCACCATATCACTAGGAAGACCAAGAAAGAGGTGGTGTTGGTGTCTGGAGAAGACTTTCCCATGACTGGGATGCAAGTCTCTGCTATGCTCATCTCTCGGGTTCTACATTAATGGTACAAGTTCTCCCTCACAAGAAGCTCTAAAAATAACCAATCGAGTTTGAGTTTGACAGAGAAAAGACTCATTTGCATGAATGACTCTCTCTCTCTCTCTCTCTTTTTCTTTCTCTCTCCTATGTGTGTGTGTGTGTGTTGCCATCAGGTTAAAAGTACAAATTTCCAGGTATCCCCTCGACACACACCTCTGGACTACATGCTCAAAGGAACATCCTCCTACCCAGGAAAAGAAGCCTATACCCTCAGGAGGAACTGTGATGAACAGGAAGGCTATGAGAACAGGGAGAACATGGCAAATGGCAGTAAACAAAGCATAGCAACATAGAATGGCAGCAGGGAGTACGGAGCAAAGTCAGGAGTACAGAGAAGGATGAGAACAGCCAGGCTCTGGCAGAGCAAAGTAGCTGGAGAGTGGGCACCCTGTGGTGGAGACATAGTCTGGACTCAGAGCTGCTGTACCATTCCTGCCACCTGGAGCCATCTTAATGGATGCCTACAAGCCTGAGTCCCCAGACGCTACACCTATGCAAGGGTTGTGACCTAGACCCATGGCTTTTAACAGCAATGAGCAGCCAGTTAGTCCTCTCTTCACTGTCTCCACCATTTAGCCACCACTCCCGCAGGCCTTGGGGAAAGTGAACAAAGGAGGGGAAGGAAGGCAGGAAGAAAGACTTTGTTGAGGAAGCCACGCCCTTTTGAGGAAAGAGAGAGGTGGGTTTTAGGGGATTGGTTACATAGACATGCCTTAATTGAATTAAGAAGGCGGTCTGGAGAGATGGCTCAGGGTGCTCTTCAAGAGGATCTGGAGCCGGGCGATGGTGGCACACGCCTTTAATCCCAGCACTCAGGAGGCAGAGGCATGCGGGTCTCTGTGAGTTCGAGACCAGCCTGGTCTACAGAGCTAGTTCCAGGACAGGCTCCAAAGCCACAGAGTAACCCTGTCTCGAAAAAACAAAAACAAAAACAAAAAAAAAAGATCTGGGTTTGATTCCCAACACCTACATATAAGTGTACAATCATCTGTAACTCCAGTTTCAGGGGATCCTACACCCCTTTCTGGCCTCCTCACACACTGCACACATGTGGTACACAGGCATGGAAACAAAGCAAGCTCCCATACGCATAAAAAACAAAATAAATTTGAAAACCCTAAGTTTTTAAGCTCTGTGTCTTAATCAAACTGGCACTAAAGGAGAATGGTAATTTCAAAACTAAGCTGTTGCTTCTCGCTCAGCCTGTTTAGAGCCTTCCAAAGAGAATGACTTTGTCTCCTCTTAGTACAAAAGGAGGGTGGGAAAGGCAAAGGAAAGGAGACAGAGGAACCCAGATACTCTGAGGTAGATTTAAATTTAGTTTTTAGAGTTTTTGACAACAGATAAAAATAAAGGTGGTCCATAGAAATTACACAATGCTCACCTGAATCATCAGTGGAACAAGAAACAAAACAATATAAAGAATCAATGAGACAAATGGTTGGTTCTTCGAGAAAATCAGCTTATGCTAGAGAAGTTGTGGGGTAACGGGAACACTCCTATATTGATATAGCACTTTGAATACCAGTATGGCAATTTCTCAAAAAATTAGGAAACAACTTTTCTCAAGACCCAGAAATACCACTTTTGGGTATATATCCAAAGGATGCTCAATCATGCCACAAGGATATGTGCTCAACTATGTTCATAGTAGCATTGTTTGTCAAAGCCAGAACATGAAAAGTACCTAAATGCCCCTCGACCGAAGAATGGAAAAGGAAATTGTGGTACATTTACACAGTGGAATACTACATAGCAGAAAAAATAATGATATCTTGAAATTTGCAGGAAATGGATGGAGCTAGAAAACATTGTATTGAGTGAGGTAACCCAGACTCAGAAAGACAATTATCATATGTACTCACTCATAAGTGGTTTTTAAACCTAAAGCAAAGAAAACCAACCTACAGATAACAATCCCAGAAAACCTAGACAACAATGAGGACCCTCAGAGAGACATACATGGATCTAATCTACATGGGAAGTAGAAAAAGACAAGATCTCCTGAGTAAATTGGGAACATGGGGACCATGAGAAAAGGTTGAAGGGGAGGGGAGAGGCAAGGAAGGGAGCAGAGAAAAATGTAGAGCTCAATAAAATCAATTTAAAAAAAGAAATTACAGGATGCAAATGTTTATTGCTTTGATTCAGAAAAATAAAAGTGTTCCATAGGATCTAGGCTTGGGGTTATAGGCTTACACACCCAAGTGAAAGCCCAAGAATCACATATAACCCCAGGAAGACAATCATGTGCTGTCTCAGAGGAACCCCAAGGTTGAGTGTTGTAGAGTGTATGATGTAGAAATGATGGGAGAAAAGGGTAGATTTTTGAATCTACTTTTATCCAAAAAAACAACAATTAGTCTCAAAATATTTTATAGGCATGGATTTTGTCTATTGATATAAGTTTAAAGTTAATGTTGTTATACTGTATGTATATTTCTACTCTTGTGTTTATACAGTTCAATTAAAATATATAATGTATAATTAAGAAATACAAAAATATAGTTAATCATCTAGAAAAGTCAAGCTTAAAGTCATGTTAGTTATGTTTTCTAGATATGCAAAGATATATTTCATATAGATAGGTATTCTTCAAACATTTCAAAGATCTACAGAATATGGGTATTTAAAATGTTTTAATAACATAGACATTTCATGACAATGAGATTCCTGGGAAATCCCAATGATTTGGGATCCAGTGTTTCAGTAATCTGATACCTAGAGAGAAGACCCAAGTGTCTCTCTTTAGAATAGCCTCCACTTCCAGGATTGTTACATTAGTTAAAGTGGTTTTTTGCTTTTGTTTTTGTTTTGTTTTATCATTCCTCAGAGTATTACTCCATTTTTTTTTTTTTGGTTTTTTCGAGACAGGGTTTCTCTGTAGCTTTGGTACCTATCCTGGAACTAGCTCTTGTAGACCAGGCTGGCCTCAAACTCACAGAGATCCGCCTGCCTCTGCCTCCCGAGTGCTGGGATTAAAGGCGTGCACCACCACCACCTGGCTTACTCCATTTTTTTTAAGTGTGTGGGTGTCTTAGTTACTTTTTTTTCTGTGAAAAGACATCATGGCCAAACAACTTATAGAAGAGTTTATTGAGGGTTTACAGTTTCAGAGAATGAGTCCATGACCATCATGCAGGGAGCATGACAGCAGGCAGACATGGCAATGGAGCAGGAGCTGAGAGCTTACATATTGAGACAACAACCATGAGACAGAGATAGATAGATAGATAGATAGATAGATAGATAGATAGATAGATAGATAGATAGAGAACTAACTGAAAATGGTGTGGACTTTTGAAACTTCAAAGCCTGCACATGGAGACAAACCTCCTCCAACAAGGTTATACCTCCTAATCCTTTCCAAACAGTTCCTCCAACTAGAGACTAAGAATTTAAATATATAAGCCTATGGGACCCGCTCTCATTCAAACCACCACTCTATATTGTATTATGTTTTTGGTATTCATTTATCTCCATTTATATTATGTGTGTGTGTCCATACCTGTTAAGACAATAGTCTTGCTATGTAACCCAGGCTGACCTCAAACTCACATGACTGATTGTCCTTTAGTCTCTAGAGCACTAGCATTGAGGGCAGGTGCCATGATACCTAGCCATTTTATTCTTGTGTTTGTTAGCTTGTTTGTTTTGAAGGGGCATGTGCGTCATAGGCCCTGCACGGAGGTCAGAGAACTATTGCTTGGAGGAAAGTTCTGAGTTATCACTCCAGTCACCAATTTAAATTTTACTTATTTATTTATTTTAGTTCTTTGAGAATTTTGTACAATTTATTTCGATCTTATATATTGCCCTTCCCCAGTTCCTCCCAGACCCACCCCCTTTCCCTATCTGCTCAACTTCATGGTTTGTTTGTTTTTTTTTTTAAAAAAAAAAAACTCATCGAGTCCAGTTTGTGCTGTCAATGCAGTCTTGGGTGTGTGACCTTCTACTGAAACATGATCCACATACCAGGGGCTACACTCTTAAACTGACTTGCCCTCTCAGAGGGCACCTGCTGCAGTTTTCAGGCTCTTATTAAAAAGAAAGAAAAGGAAAAGCCTCTGTGGTCAATCTGCAAAGAAAAGCTAACACCTCAGTTCCCTTCAGGAATGAAGTTTATTATAATAAAAGGTTCTCAAGGCCATGAGCACGTCTCCAGGTGGAGGAAGAGCATTAGAAACAATTCAATACAATATGGAGGAGTCTAAACTTGGAGAAGCCTTAACGGGAATAAGAGACTTCTCTTTGAAAGCTTAGAGTGAAGCTGGTTGGAGGGGCAGGGCTCAAAATGTGCAGCCATGAGAGAAATAAGGGGCATAGTAGAGCTGCTTCAGACAGCAGCCGGCAGAACACCCAATGCTTCTGATGGTGAGAAATAAGGGTATAGTAGAGCTGCTTCAGAAAGCAGCCGACAGAACACCCAATGCTTCTGATGGTGAGAAATAAGGGGCATAGTAGAGCTGCTTCAGACAGCAGCTGACAGAACACCCAATGCTTCTGATGGCGAGTTTGGACCAATCCCCAGGACAAAGGAAAGATCTGGCTTGTATGGCCTTTCCCGGTGGCAGAAGTTTCACGCCACTTGGTTTAGTTCACAATAGCATATGTAACAGGGAGCATGGAGGAGCCAGGTACCGTAAACTGAAAACTGTCAAGTCCCAGCACAGACAGCTTCTAACTCTCTGTCCTAGAGAATGGCAGGGAGATGTGGCCTGATTCATGCTATGGGATCTGGCCTAAAGGTGGAGGCTGGTGTGTCCTGGAACAAAGAACTGGTCCAGGGACATGTAGGATCATGATAGAAACAGAGACAGTTTATTAAAGTAGAAAAGCCCTTTTCACATTGGAAATAGGCCAGCTCTAGAGAAATGTCAAAGGCTCAGTGGCCCTGCCTAGAGTCTGTGACATTTAAGTCATTTAGAGCCTCTTCATATTTTCTGCACATGCGCTGTCTGGTTTCATGTAGCCAGTAGAGAGATAAAGGTCCAGTCTTCCTCTGCAATGGTTTCTTTCATAAGCTAATCTTTCCAAAAATCATTTATTTTTGTGGGCATCTGTGTGTGTGTGGGCACCCATGAAGGCCAGGAGAGAGTCGGATCCCCCGGAGCTGGAGTTACAGGAGCTGCCTCCTGAGGTGGTCACTGGAACTGGGCTTGTGTCCTCTGTGAGACAAGTAAGTACTCTTCAACTTTGAACTGTTTCTCCAGCTCCTCATATGCTAATTTTAATGTTTCAGCCTCCACCTCCATACTACTCTCTTTTCTCACTGGTGCTGGAGGCAGCAGCATGCTTCTGCAGTCCCAGCATGCTTCTGCAGTCCCAGCATGCACCTGCAGTCCCAGCTAATAAAGAGGCTGGGGCAGAAGAATGCTTAAGCCCAGGAATTCAGAGTCATTCCGTGCAATACAGTAGGATACAATCTTTAAAAAATAAAAACAACAACCAAAAAATGAAGCAAAATAAGAACAACAACCTGAACTTGAGAAAGAGTTTAATTCAGAAAACCTGGCTGAACTCATCCTAACCTTGGGAAGTTTGAAACACGACAAAGCTGCTGGGAGAATCAACCATTTTAAGTTTTCCTCTCTAACAACGAACTTAAATTACTTTCGACAGTGTCAGTAAATCCGACTCTAAATTCAGCCACAACACAATTAAGCGGCCAGCCACCCACCCCCACCCCAGGAGACAGCTCCTTTAGCTGCTCAAATTACAGGTACGAGCAACCCTCCCTCAGTCTAATTTCTCTGAGTCACAAAAGGCCCGCACTGCTAACTCAGACCGCTACAATTTTCAATAAAGGGCTTAGTGGGTCCAGAGTCAGTGTACTCCCGGTGACCCACAATGCGGGCCTTCCTGCTGCAGTTACATAAAAGGGCATAACTAGAGCTCTGGCTCTGTGTATACAATGAATATGAAAGACGCCCTCACCCACTCACCTTTTTTTAATGTGGTGTTTTTTTTAAAAAGTGTTCATTCTCTAATAAGCTGATGTGGGCTTCTGGGAGATTATATAACAACATTAGCGCTGCGCTACCTCCTGTCCAAATATCTTGAACTGTGTCCTCTAGAAACGCACCTTTCATTTTTGGTCAAGGAGCAAATGTCTTTGAGGGACGAAATGCCTCTCTTCGTCTCTGTTCGCGTCTGTCTCTGCAACTGCGACCTCAAGGACAGTGAGACTCTGACAAGCGAGCAGGAAGGGCAGGCGAGTTGCAAGGGTGGGGAACGTCCAAGTTACGTAACCAATAGCATCAGTAACACACTTTTGAATTGCAGGCATGATGATAATATAAAAAGACCCAATAAAAGCTGCGGTCCATGATTACAAAGACTCTCAAGGCAGAAGCGCCCTCGGGCAGTTTAGAAGACAGTCTTGGTGTTCTATATTCTTTTTCATTTTGGGTGTGCACATCTGTATACATATAGATTATTAAGCTATATAATAGATCTATATTTCTAACTATATAATATATATTAAACTATAAAAGCAGTTTTTGTTTTCATATATCACCTTTTGTTTCAAAATTGACATTCATCATCTACCCGGAATTACATTTGAACTTTTTTTTCTTTTTTGAGAATGTATTGATATGTAAGTCAACGTGTCCTAAAACAAGCCATATAGCCCAGGATGGCCTGCAATCCTTCTTCTACTGAATATTCTAAAGAGGCACTTTTGCTCTTCAGTTTGGGTTTCAGACTATTAAAACAATAAACCCTGAGAAATTGGAATGTTATTGAGAGGCTCAAACTGGGAGAGGAAAAAGGCTAGAAGCGTGGTTCTGTCAGAGAATTTAACCCCCAGAAGGCGATCTCACGGTTCTAACAGTTTGTCAGACCACCTTGCAGAAGAGAGTGTGGCTGAGACAAGGCCGGTGGGCATTCCCACATCTGACCCCACAATGGAAAGCTTGTATCACCAACCACCTGAGCATTCTTTTTGTTGGATTCCAAGGAAGTAAGGTGGGCAGCCCGAGCCCCTGTGCCAGCTAAGTCTGGGAACTCACAGATGTCTGGCTCTAGACTTTCAAAGTCTAAGACTTATTGCAGCTAGAATTACATTTCTGTACGTTCAGTGCCCAGCCCCTCAGCTTTTAGCTACTCTGGGTAACTGGGCAGTTCTCTGGAACTCACAGCAGCTGGGGACGGGAGCTTTTTGCAGCCTCTTGCCTCCTGCAGTTTCCAGTCCACAGTCGTTCACCCTCCGTAATCTCCACCTCTCCTTGGTATCTTTCCTAGCTCTTCCACACTCTGTATTTTCTCCTTCCCAGCTCTCTGCTGCTCCCTGAACTCTTCCGATGCCCTCTAGCTGCTGCTTCTGGCTTTGCCTGCAACTGGCAGCCCAGAGAATTTTCTGCTCTTTGGGGCAGCCAGCTCCTGCTTGAGTCACACCACAAGCAGACACTGAGACTGTTCAGAAAGGCTTTCCTGAGGCCTCAGACTGCAACACTAGCTGTCATGGGTGGAGGAGGGGCTGTGATGACAGGAGCTGCTGAGGGGGAGGAAGACACCTGCAGTCCTTGCAGACAAGGTCACCTAAGGGTCATCTGGAGCTGTCAAGGGCAGGATGAAGTCTCGGAAGCCGTGACAGGAGTGAGTAAAGCCGAGTTCCCCAAAGCAAAGCTGTTTACACAGTAGGACATGACTGTTGTGGCGATTTCTGGGTCTAGAAAGAAGCCTCTTTGGGGCATCCGTGGCTGGACTGAAGTTTCCATGAACAGCAATGAAGCAGAGGAAGTTGGCACAATAACAAACTGCTGGGAGAAGCAGGTGTCTGACTGAGAGCTGCCATATTCTGCTGCAGTTACAGCCACCGCAGTGCACCTGTAGGGGCAGCCACACTCTTGTCCCCAGTTGTCCTGGACTCAGGGACCATGGTCCACAACAGCTCAGCCCCCAGCCTTCTCTGATTTGGAACTACTCGGTTTGGCTCCTAGGCAGCTGCTGCCACTGCCTGTAAAGGTCGACAGCTATCATCAGCTGGCTCATCTGATAGGCCCTGTTATCTTTAATCATTTAAAGAGACAAACACATTAGAGGGTAACTTTGATAGGCACTCAATATGAAATTACCATACTTCTCAAACTTTGCCTAATCACTAAGTACCAGCTAAGTATCTTTAGAGAAGGTTGGGCCTTCTGATCTTAGTGGTGTGGTAGCACAAACAAGTTTTCATCCTTCCTAGGCAAGGCTGAAATGCTTTCCTAAGTGGTTTTTCTATTTTCACTCCCACACCAGCAGCAAAGAAAAAGAAAGTTCTAAGTTCACATCCTAATCAACCCTCACAGTGAAAATTGCCTTTTTCTTTTTCTTTTCTTTTCTTTCTTTCTTTTCTTGAGATTTCACTATAACACAGGTTGGCCTTGGACTCAACTCACAGTTAGATTTATATTTTAATGTTTATTTACCTTTTTGTTTTTATTCATTTGTGTGTGTGTGTGTGTGTGTGCGTGTGTGTGTGTGTGTGTGTGTGTGGTGTTCCATGTGTCATAGGGTATGTGTGGAAGTCAGAGGACAACTTATGGGGGAGTCAGTTCCTTCCTTCCACCACCTAGATTCTGGTACTCGAACACAGTTTCTTGGTCACCTCAGGTTTTCAGGCTTGGTGGCAAGAATCTTTACCTACGGAGTCATCTTGCCTGCCAAATGGTCTTCTTTGGTTTTCTTAAATCAATCTGAGGCATCAGGATTAACATGTCTCAATTTTGTATTTCCTTTATATTAATATATTTGAGCCCCTCTTCATTTCTCTTATTTAGAATTCTTCATTTTTTCAAGTCTTCATTATCTCCATTTTAAGTAGGCTTTTGTGTGCTGGGGACTGGATGCAGGGTCTTTACACATGCTAGAGAACCATTCTGCTGCTGAGCTACCCTCTCAGCTTTCCTCCGGTTATAAACTCTAATATCTCTTTCCATTGCATGCCTTGTCTTTTCATACTCCTTTATACACTTCTGAAGAGCTATACCTCACTACTTATAAACAAAATTTCACTATGTAGCCCAAGCTGGCCTCAAACTCCTGCTGCCTCAGCCTCCCAAGTACTGGGATTACAGGTATATTGTTAGTTTGTTTGTTTATGAGTTTTCGAGACAAAGTCTCACTGTAGTTCAGACTGGCCCTGAACCTACTACAGACTGGAGGCTGGATTTGAACTCCTATATTTCTGGTCCTTCTGCCTCCACATCTAAGTTTGGAATTATGGACACCGTGCTACCCTGCTCTGAAGTTCACGTTTAAATACAGTTGAATCTATAAATCTTATCTTTACATTTATGGTTTCTTTGGTTTTTTTTTTTTTTTGTCCTTCAAATTAAAAAACAGCTCTTGGAAGATATGGGCAGGATGATCAAGAGTTCAAGAGTTTCTTGGCTAGACAGAGTTTGAGACCAGCCTTGGCTACATGAGATCCTATCTCAAGCAAAGAATCTTTTCATCTAAGCACAAATGTTAAAATGTTGTCATTGCTTTTCTCTCAATTTCTCTGTTTCTGTCTCTGATCTTCCTTCTATTCTAATGTGCATGCATTCTTCTCTTAGTTAAGGAAAACTGCAGCACAAATTCTAATTGTTCTTACTAATAATTGTAATGGTCTGTCCTGTCCCTATAAGAGGCAAGCTCCGCCCACTCCCTCCCCCTCCCACGCTGAGGCAAGCAAATTTTTCTTTCTCTTCCAGCCTGAGTTCCTTCCTTTCCATCTCTCTCCCGAAGAGGCAGCTTCTGCCTCTCTCCCTTCTCCCCTCCCCCCATTTCCCTTTCCCCTCCATAACCCACTAATAAATAGCCACTTTCTCTGCATGGCGTGCCTAATAGGTCTCTGTCTGTCACCCGCCGCCATGGTCTCATGGCCCCACTGCCGCCACTGGGGCACCTGCAGCGTTCTACCATAACAGTAATAACCTGGAGTCAGATATTAGGGGTTTTGTCAGGCGCCAGCTTCAACAAGTATACCACTCACCAGGGTGGGAGCTTGAGGACTAGAAAGAAGTTAAGTAGGAGGAATAGAGGTAAGAAAGAATCACTGAGACTTAGGATAGTGAAGGGAGGGCAACTCAGCGAATACTGAATGCTGAAATACACCCATGTTTATTTTTCATATACTTTTTTACACCAATACAAAAAGGGAAAGAAGACAAAAGACTGCTTTAACATGACACAAAGGACAACTAGAACAGTTATTTGCTTCAATACTTGGAGACATGAAGTCATTAGCATTCTGTCGTTTAGGCAGTGAAACCACCCTAGACCAAGTCTCCTGAAGGCAGCCATTCCCAAGGTCAATCATCCGATTTCAATAAAATAAGCAGGTGTTTGCTTGAATTTCCTTACCAGTTTGGCCAGGGTGGAGTGGATCTACCTGTATGGGCCATCTTAATGTCCGATCTCCAGCTCTTCAAAGATTAGAATAGAATGTACGACATAGAGAGTACAAAAAGAAAAGGTAAGCTAATAAATCCAGAAAGAGCACTTTCTTGAAAGAAAAGAGAAATGCAATAAAAACTCAAAAATTCAAGAAAATATTCAGAGAAATAGAAGTTCTTCCACTGGAAGTTGACAAAAACAATCTATGACCTTTACCAAACCTCTAAAACAATAAAGATCAAAATACCTTTTAAAAACAAGGGTTAGGAAGACAGAGTTCAGTGGGTAAAGTGTTTGACATTCGACTGTGAGGACCTGAATTCAAATCTCCACCACCCAAGCAAGTCTGCACACAGTGTCTTCATCTGTAACCTCAGTGATACCATGGGGAAATGGAAATAGAGACAGGAGAAGCTCAAATGTCAGCTGAACAAAAATGAAAAGAGAGAGAGAGACCTTGTCTCAAAGTGAAAAGTGAAGACTGACTCCCAAAAGTGTCCTCAGACCTGCATAACCACACACACACACATACACCAAATATTCAACAAAACAAAACCAGAACATATATCAGAGGGTTGGAATCCTTTTTTACCATAAAACAGAAAGAAAACCGGAAAGCAAACCCATGACAAAATTTCATTGTTTTTATCCTTTAAAGCTTGCCATTGTTACCTAAACCACACCCATTTTTCCCTGTACACAATATGCCAATCACAAGGGGAAAATGACTTGCAAAATACGGTATTTTCCGGGTGTGGTGGTGCACATTTTTATCCCAGCACTGGGGAGGCAGAGGCAGGTGGGTGTCTATGAGCTCTAGGCCAACCTAGT